TTGCAAAACAATGAGGGTTTACAATGTATCGGTATGTGGAATTTGCAAAACAATGAGGGTTTACATTGTATCGGTATGTGAAATTTGCAAAACAATGAGGGTTTACAATGTATCAGTATGTGAAATTTGCAAAACAATGAGGGTTTACAATGTATCGGTATGTGAAATTTGCAAAACAATGAGGGTTTACAATGCATTGGTATGTGAAATTTGCAAAACAATGAGGGTTTACATTGTATCGGTATGTGAAATTTGCAAAACAATGAGGGTTTACATTGTTATCAGTATGTGAAATTTGCAAAACAATGAGGGTTTACAATGTATCGGTATGTGAAATTTGCAAAACAATGAGGGTTTACAATGTATCGGTATGTGAAATTTGCAAAACAATGAGGGTTTACAATGTATCGGTATGTGAAATTTGCAACAGTTTACAATCTTTATATACCTGTAAATACTGGTGGAAATAAAAATAGGACATGAACAATGAGGCCACATGACCAGAGCTGGCACAAAGCGATATACTTTAAAAATTATCCTTGGCTATGCCAAAGGGACTGAGACTACCTACATCATTCCTACATGTTTCATGTGTTTATTTTTTTAGAATCCAGGAATTAGAGACAGAGAAACATCAGATGGAGCTGGCAGTTAAACGAATAGAGGATGAGTTTCAAAGAAGGTGAGATATTTTGATATTTTATTGTAAAGCAGTGGCAGCCAAAGTCCATGCAGCAATAGTAAAGGTCTACTATTACACATGTATTTGGGCAGCAAGTTAGTAAACTTGTTAACTATTTCACCAACTACTTTGGTTTCAACGAATCAGATGGGAGCGAACGGGGGGAATACCTAATGCACGGGGCAGCGGCAGCAATCCTTGTACTGTATAATATTCGTTTAAGCTCAAAATCTGACACAGAGAGTGGCAAATTCGAGCAGCTATCAACACTTTTTATGATCGACGCCCGGGCATTCCGGCGAGTTGAGTCCGCCATGTTGTTTACTAATATTGGTTAGCGTTTAACAATAGGACAATACCATTCTATCCATGGGGGTGACAGTGCTACAAATGTGCCGACATTGTCGAAGGACAAAGACAGGACAAGTTTGTGCAAGTGTGGCGAGACTCCCATATTATTGTTTAGTAAGATTCATTTAAAAATGACTATGTAAGACGTCTGTTACGCAGAAATTATTCACCTCATGTAAAACAAAGCATTGTTTCTCATTGTTGTGCTATGTTGTATGGTATCATGGATCTATGTAGTCCTGCGTATAGTCTATGGAGGTACGCATGGCTGTGGTGGGGGTCATCTATCAACCGAACACGTTCCTGTACATACAGCACTGTATGCAGGGTTAGGATCTAGGAGCTTCGTGGGTGCGTAATCAAAATAATGTTACAATGTGAAAACAGACAACCACTCAGCCATAATATGTATCGAGACAAAACATAATTTGACGATAATCGGGTGTTGCCAGGAAAAGTGAGATTGTCACAAAATGTAGCAAATCGTTTTCAAAACAGTGCCGCTAAGAAAGTCTTGCTATATTGCAACGTTCAGTAAGACTTGAATCTTGTTTGCACCCACTGTAAAACATGTATAGTAAACAATCCGCCCTTTGTGGGAAATATTTTTATTCAAAATAAGTACAAGTCAACTAAAACGAAAATTAAAACACGTATAGTAAATAGACAGACATAAAATATTTTGTATATGCTACTGAAGAACAAGTCAACTAAAACGAAAATTAAAACATGTATAGTAAATAGACAGACATAAAATATTTTTATTCAAAATTAGTCTTGTATATGCTACTGAAGAACAAGTCAACTAAAACGAAAATTAAAACACGTATAGTAAATAGACAAACACCCCCTGCTGGGAAATATTTTATTCAAAATTATTCAAAGTACAAGTCAGCTAAAACGAAAATTAGTCAATAACATGCATTACATGATGTTTAAGCCCTGGTGCCAATGTCCTTGTTTTCAAATTCTTAACTCCTTTTCGTTGACCTGGTTTCCTGGCATCTTCGCGGTTTTCGGTACTGTCAGCGCTCTGTCGGTTGATGTTACTGTCTTTTTTGTTCGTATATAACCTTTTACAAACTTCTGAAACAGTTGTTTCTTCTCTTTTTCCGTTTTCTGGATCCATACGGCTTGTTTCACTCTGTGCTTTGCCATCCATGGTGCGAGTTTGTAGTTCCCTTTACCATAAAGTGCGCGTCTAATATCTAATTGCTGTACCTTTGCGATCTTGTGTAATCTGTCAACTAAGTCAGGGAGTTTCAATGTCTTCCAATTACTGCTAAGCTTCAAAATATTGTTCATGCTCTCACACGCGTTGTTTTTCCAATCCAGGGGCACCCATTTGTTCATTAGTCTTCGTCGTAAAATTGATGTCCGAAACTTGTCAGCAAAGATAAATTATACAGCTCTGTAAATTTCAGGTCGAATTCTTCTTTGGTTTCGCATTAAATAAGTCCTGTTGATCCAAACATATCATTTAGCGTGTCTTTTCAAACTTTCACGTTGGCACCAACTTTGTGTCTTCCAGCGTTTTCTTGTAGATGTCTGTAGCATAATACTTGGTGTGGCGATGAAAAGCAGTCGTTAATAGCTTTGGTAAGAGCAGCCTCTTCGTCGGACCCAATAACAAGATTTGCAAACTGCGTGCCTTCGATTTTATCTGATAACTTTCGTTGGAGATGAGAAAAAACTGGTAGAAACTGTGGTAGGTGCCATCCCAGTGTAGAAACGTAGCGGCTAACATAATAGGGTGATTCCGGGTTGAACTTCGTATGATATTCTGATGGTGGTACACTACAGTGGTCACATAACAGGCGCCTATTAAAATTAAATGTGCGATCGACTCCTAAAACACTTGGATGTGTCGACTTCGATGTGCAGAGCTGGCTTATGTCCTTCAAATTCTCGTCTAGATAGCATATAACTGATGGTGGTTTTCCTGAATTGCTTGCGGTGATCTCTTTCATGTACGGGTGGTGTGGAACTTCACTAATTAAAGTCTGGATATTGTCGGCACCATTGCTAGATTTCTTTGTTGCTTGATACTTGAAGTTCTGTACTTGCTTGCGCGCGCACATTGATCCGTCTAACAGCAAAACTTGATACACTTCTCGCGGTGTCTTTTTTTCTAACAAATCTTTTACAGCTTTCTTAACGACTGCAGATGTTCTAACGTACTCTCCAGCTGTGTTCTTGGCATTTCCATGCGGTGTTATACTGTCTGGAAAGAAACCTATATACTCAATAAGAGTTAATAGAGTTATACTTACCATACCTGTGGGACATCTTGAAACGGTGTTGATACGTTTCTTTTAGCACGGCTCTCGTTTTAAAAATAAATAATAACGTCTAAATACGATGATGTCTTCTAGCATTGGTTGTGGTTCTAATGGTACACGCTTTCGTTTAACATCTCTGCAATATAAGCCATCTTTAAAGTCCACTTACATCAATCCTTGTCCGCCCGAAATTATGTAATGGTGAACTTTCGATGATTTTGATACCCATACTCCGCAGTCATCTACATAAATCGATTTCTTGTTCTTCTCGTTACGTTTAACGCTTTCTTCATTATTTAATAAAACATACACATCCTGCTTAACTCCTTGTAGGACAGTCTTACCACTTGGCTGATTTTGCATCATCACCTGTAGAACATCTTCGGGATCCAAGAACTTGCCATTCCCACTTATTGCACCAGGGATACCTGCCGGCTATACTTACCGAGTTGGAGTCCTCAATACTTACCGAATTGGGACTCACTACGTCAGTGAGACTCGCGGACCTAGCTATACTTACCGATTTGAACTCCTCAATGCTTACCGAATTTGGGAATACATGCAGTCTGCACCAGACCAGCACAGCTTACATCTAGACTTTCGAAAGCAAATCCATCAGTTGGTTCCTTCTTTGGTGTTGATGTTACTAGCAGGATAGATGTGATAACGTCCGCACTGAGGTCCGAACTGACACCCACCACTGGCACTGCACTGTTAGACAGGAGCAACGGCGTGAAGTGATTCGGTGCCCACGTCAACGATGTTGGTTCACTCACGCTCGTCCACACAACAGTAACAGCTCCCCTGCCCACAATACTTACCAACCTTGGACGAAACGTGGTGTTCAAAATTACCATACAGCTGTCCATCAAACCATTAATCTGTGGGTAAATAGAGTTGATGTTCCGCTGTAAAACTGTAGCTGCAGCATGAATTGTCCAGGTGGAGGAATAACATCCATCAACGACACAGTCACTGTAGGCGTTCGGTAATCAGGCAACACTAAACGGATGCCACTGCTAATGTGGAATCCCTGGTAAAATTCTCTATGCTGAACCATTTCAATGCAGGTCTTCACTCGCGATTCATTGGCAAGCGACTCATCCCCAATCAGGGCCACAGACAAGGCATTGAAAAAACAATTACCATCACCTGACACACGAACCGGCACACAAGAACTATACTTACCATATTTGTCCAATATCTTCTTCGAAGTCACGTCAACAGCCATATCTCCAATTTCCAGTTCCGTATATAGGGTACATAGCGCGGGGACACGACTCAAAAAAATAGACTCCATCATAACGGCAGTTATAAGTGAACCACGGCGAGTAGCTTCACTTAGTCGATCGAAGGAACCTGAAAGACTAAAAAGACCACCCACCATTGTACAAGAAAAACACAAGTATTGATCTTCAATAGCACTAATCGTATCCATGTCAGCCGACGTTAAATTGTCGCACGTAGCATGGACCCAAAAATGACACCCATCACAAAAAACTGAACCATCTCCGCACTCTCGTGCACAAGTACCACAAGGCCATTCCACCTGCTGTTGTCGACTACGTTTCTGGTGACGACAATCCATGCTTAATAAATATCGTACGATGTAAGAAAAGCGAGCGTATAGAGTAGAGTATATGGTATGCTAAGTATAGCTGCTTATATGATCTGAAAGTTCTAGTTGAAGTGTCTTGTCTTTTATAACAGACTTTCTCTAATACGATTGGTTGACTATATTAAAATCATGATTGAAATGATTGGTTGGTGGTGTATGAATAAAAACATTAAAAAAATCTGATTGTCAAATGTTTCACACCTGAGGCCACCCTTCAACACCTCAACGAAAACATCTGTACACTGGGATTGCCCAAGGTAAATGATTATATTACGTCAAAAAATACCACTAAAAACACGTTATGTTGCACACAGTATGTATCACCTAAGTTATATTTATGATGTCAACAATACATACTGTTGTGATTTGATGTGATTTGTACATACTATGGGAATGCCCCGGTTTAATCACACCACATTATCTGTAGAAAGAGAATGTTTGTTAAAAAAACACAACATTATCCATGACAACAAAAACAATGAACAGTTATTATTTAATATTTTAAATAATAAAGATGAAAACGTCATAACGAGAAAATTCAATTAAAAGTGAAATGCTTAAACCAGCTGCTTCAGAAAATACAAATTAACCTTTTTTTTCTGTTTGGAAATTTGAGCGCCCTGTTCTCTACTGTACTGTACTGTATTGTTAGTTATTTTTTACATGTTTTCAGAAAGTATCACTTTATTGAACTTTTCATCAAAACCTCAAATACAGGATACGACAGCAATAAAGATTCTATTCTACGT